ATGAGCATTCATTATCATATCCTTCCAAGTTATCGGTGACTCAGAAATGCCATTTTTGACCTAGAATACCACTTTCCCTCCCATTTTGTCTACTCAGACGTTCCTAAATAGGATTTAACTTTTATCATGCACTTTGGAGTGGTTCACAGACATAAGTGCCATCTATAGGATAACACCTATAATTAGGTTTTTCCAAATAAGACCTTGTCTTCACTAAAAGGGAAGATCACCACTGATGCAGTTGATCTTCTAGAGTTCAATTTAGCGAGTCTAAATTGAACTCAGAGGACACCGCTACCAACATTCAGTACTTTTCCCTACTCTGGGGACACCACCAACTTTGGCTTAAGGTATTCTACCTAGTTGAAATTGCGTACCTTAAACCGAACTGCTGAGTCTAGTGTAGACGTGGCCTCAGTAACAAGTGGAAGCACCAGGATCACTGTGACAGTCTTACCATTGAGTCACAGACAGTCCTCTTGGACACTCCAGTCTGTCTTGCCACCAGGCAGGCTAGACCTAATGAAAAATGGTAACTTACACCAAAACCCACACAATATTCAGAATGTTTCCAGTCCTAAGAGTCTGTATCATTTATTCCAAATCAATATCGATCTTCGATCTCACATCAAAGACCACACGGGAGCCAATTTTGTAATGAACTACAGGTTGAACCTCTCTAGTCTGGCACTGTCTGGTCTGGCATGATTTTAGATAGCTAAAGGTTCACTTACTATGGGCGTGGCCAAATTTCCCAAAGTTCCATAAAGTGTGTTTATTCTGTGCCGTTATTTAGCTCTAATTTAACCCTAACTGTTTTCTAAGAGGCTAATAAGCAGTGGAAGTATTGGTAATGCTGCGAAACAATATTGACCTCTCATGGTTCTGCAAAGTCTCTGGTTCAGCACAGGTCTGTTTCCAAGAGTCCCAAAAGATGCATGAGAACGTGCCGTGCACATACAGAAGATTTTTCTCTTAAACCTTTGTACAAAAGTTATTGTTCCTACTCCTGTTGAAATCAGTAGCAAAATTCCATTGATGTGATTCAGATTTGGGCTTATATTTTGGGGTTCTTTATTTTTCTGTTGAAAAATAAAAGAACACAAATTGCTCTTTTTTTTTTTTTTCAATAAAGTATGAATTACAAAAAATAACTGATGTGGATAGATCGGCCATGGTTAGGAAATAGCGGAGAGTTGCAACCAGAGAATATAATATCTATTAATAACCTATTGTAAAAGAGAAATTATATAATGAATACTGTTTTAAAATGTTTAAAGTATCATCCTATGGAAACATTTAATAATGGAGCATTTTCTTGTAATGATAAGGATTCTCTTCTATAAACTAAATGGCAAGATACACAACTGTTTTTTCTCTAGGACAGTAATAAACAGAAAAATCGTAAATAAGAATATGAGCAAACAAAGTGAACAGTGAGAACCTATTACTTTTCCTCCCATGGCCTGATTTCTAATCTCCTTGCTCTTTGTTTGCTTCTTATGTGCCCCACCTGCTTCCTTGCTTACCCAGCTGCTTTGCTGCTCCAGAACTACTTTTACCCTTCGAAAGATACTCCCAAGGCCCACCTCTCATCAGCTGTTGATTTCTCCTTCCCCATATGGTTGAAGATCTTTTCTTCAAAAGTGTGTGTTGGGGATCCCATGTGGAGGGTATCTTTAGTGCCATTCTGTTATGAAATTCTGCAGCTTATTTCTCTAATATTTTCCCTAAAATTGGAAACAGTCTTATCTTATACAGCTCTTGCAGGTCTATATATTACTGCTGAATCATGACATAATTATTGTAGCAAAAATACTAGCTAGCCAATTGCAGTCAATGCTCCCTCGAGTTTGTATAAACCCAGATCAAATAGGATAAACAAATGTCAAGCTCTGTTCAGTGAATTCTTGGAATCCTCCATAATTATAGATTTAGAAGGGGGGAAAAAAAACAGAAACAAGATCCCCATTTGTTTTGTCATCACTTGACATAGAGCTTTTGAAATAGAAAGTTCCACTCTTAAGTCCTGTCCTATATGGAAGTTGGCACCCCAGTTCCTTACATGGATAAATTCTCTTTTCCCAAAAGGAGCTGTTCTACGAGTTAATGGGACTCAATCTCTCCGGTGAGAATTAAACAGGTGGCCTAGGCAGGAATGTCAGTTGTCTGCTTTTTTGTGCTGGCCATAGAACTGTTTAAACGGAAAATGGGAACAGTGGTCTCTGACAAGAATGAAACTTGAAGAAACAAGTCAGAAAATAGCTTTATTTGCTGATTATATGAAATTATTTTTATCTAACGCAAACATTTCTCTAAAACTGGTGTTTAAAGGAATCCATGATTTTGGGAAAGTGGACTGAAAGTAAAGTATGTCACACCTGAAATGTTAGGTATGTATTTGCCAAACTCTAAAGTCATTTGTCCAGAAAATATGGGGTACAGATCAGCAACAAATTCAATAAAAAAAACCTGGAAATTCAAAATCTCAAACAAGGTAGAGCACTATTATTTATTATGTCAGGGCACTATTTCATCAAATAAAAAAGATCTGCTATTCTGGGAGAAGTATTCATTTCCATCCTTGGGGGAGGAAAAAGCTACAGTCAAAAGGAATATTTTGCCAAAGATTTGTTTCTTGTTTCAAGCTTTTCCTGCTGCTCTGGGATGATTACTGAATACAAAGAATGTTAGAATTTATATGGAATAAGAAAAGACCAGTGCTACAGCTACACTACCATCAATCTACTGGTGGTTGATTTAGCAGATCTAATTAAGATAGCCCTTACTGTACCCCAGATGAGACGAGTAAGGGAAGTTGGCAAGAGAAATTTTCACATCGACCTTGGTAACTCAACCTAAATTACGTTGACTCCAGCTATGTTATTCACATGAAGTTGTTGACTTCCTGTGGTAGTGTAGATATAGTCCTAGAGTGAGTGGAGATTTTTTTTCTACAATTCATTGAACAGGGTGGACTAGCTGTGCTAAATACTCTCTGATGGCACTATCAAGTCAGCCAGCGGAAAGCAATATTGGATTGGGGATATATTCAAACACAGGGTTATGGAACAAGAAAATTGTAAAAGTGTTAATATTGCTAGAATACACAGATTAAAAATAATAGTAAACTCTCCTTTCATAAATAGCAACAGTTATTATATGGATTTGGGATAGCGCTGAAGATGAATTATTTTCCTTCATTGAGGACACCCATTGCAAATAAACCATATCATGAACCAGAGAGATTTAAAACACGAGTGAGCCATGGAATACATATAGTTGGCCAGTTGCTCAGCAAAGAAACTGTTCTAACTTGCTAAGAGATGAAAATTAATTTTAACCACCCTTCTGTCCCATGGTATCACATAAGACATTATATGTCCTAACTTTCTGGAAAAAACAGTTGTATCCAGAAAAGTAACTGGTATTCAAGTGATGGTGTCTGGCCAATTAAGAAATATAAAAATAACTAATTTTATATCAGTCTTTACAGACAACTTTCCTAACAAAAATGTCTATGTTGGTAGACAAATTACCCAAGGAGAATGGGATTTGATCTGCAAAAGGGAGCTATCAACCTTTAGTTTATAGCATGAAAAACATTTCTTTAAGATAACTCTGTTGACAGGTTAACTATGTTAACCTCTTGCCAGTCAGGTTAAAAATGTATCCCCATTCAATCTTTATATGAGCATTGGAGAAACTGTGGTAAAGGTGGTTTTTATGGGTACATGATGGATGTGTTCAATCATTAGTATTGGACATGATTCATAACTAATTACAGCTTGTTGGATACTTAATCCTCCTGTGATTTTTCTGGTGGAAATGGCCACCCAAAAGGAAATGAATTAATTTATCATCTGCTAGTAGCTGCTTCACTATTTTTCTTTTTCCACTGAGGGGATATCAATAGTCTGTCCAGCTCTAAAGGAATTGTAAAAAAATATGGGAGTTTGTTGTAGAAAAATAATACTGGTTATGTACCCAGCATAAGAGACAAGAGAGTACATGGAAATCAAATATCTATCTACAGTAAATCTCCATTAGTCCGGCATCCAATGTTCTGGGACTCCGGATGGTCCGGCACCATCAGGAACCCGGAAGTGCTGGAGCAGCCGGACAGGCTTCCCACATTCAGCTGCTGCTGAAACTGACCAGCAGCTGAATCGGGGAAGCTGGGAGCAGAGCAGCTGGGGTGCTGCCAGGTTGGTCCTGTAGCGCTGCCCCTCGGGGCTGCGGGACCACCCCGGCAGCACCCCAGCTGCTCTTGGGTCAGCCACTGCTGAAACTGACCAGCGGCTGACTACAGGAAGC